AGGACCTCCTTGACCCTAACGCAAATGCGCTCACGTATGTGCGTGAGTTTCTTCATGTACATGGTATGGGGAAGAGGGGTGGGGGTCGTCGCAAAATATGATGTAAACAACTCACGTAGCCAGCTAGCCGGCCGGCCGGCGGTGCAGGGCAAGAGTGAGTCTAATCGAATNGGGGGGGGGGGGGGGGGGAGGAGGGAGGCCAAGACAAAAATTTGACCGAATGGGAATGGAGTGTAAACGGTGTAGTGCCCCAAAATTAGTTCAAGAAAAAGAGCGGCAAAGAGACCGCGCAGTGGTACCAAACTATACATGAAGCGGAAGGGGGTGTCGGCTTGGTGAAACGGTGAGATTTTTGGCGTATTGAAATTTAGTACGAGAGAGCATGGCTTTAAATAATTGACACCGGACCACGGTTTGCTAAATTGGTTTAAATGGAAGCCAAGGTTTTCATGTTGAGTTAAAAGAAAACACAGGAACTCGCGGGAAGAAATCAACAAATTATGGTTGTACAGCCCACGCAAAAAAATAAAAAAAAAAAGGTCTCCGCATTCTCCTTCATTCAGGTGAGTATGCAAACTAAGGTGGATTGGCGGTGGTGGTCAGATTCCAGGGTAATGGCGGGTGAGGTGGGAGAGAGGGTGTTGGATTTTGCCGTGGTGGAATTAAACCCACTTGCCTCCCTCCATCCTTGCCCACGCCCCGTCGCCTGCGTATGTTAACTAAAGTTGGCTGTGAATATGCTAAAGAGGAAATGTGAGTGTTTTGACCCGAACTGAATCATATGTTTTATGGGGAGTGAGCAAACTGTCCCTGTCGGATGGTAGTTAAGGACCGTCCCTAAATTACATAACCCTCTTATTCGGCATTTTAAACCCCCCCTTTCTCCCTCGTAACGTTTTTGTGACGTAGGTCCCTATCCTTAACACGTAGAAACACAATTTTGTGACGCTCTCCTCAACCCCCCCCCCCTTCTAGAGCATCACGTAATTTGGGGACGGCCCCTTAGCAGAATAGCCCCACCAGAATCAATATAAATTTCTGAACAATTATAAAAAACACAAAACAATGGGTAAACAAGGCTAAAAACAGAGACATAAAAACCTGGGACGTTTTGGGGTGGTCTCAACCCCCTTCTCGCCCAGGAAACAAAAATAAAATTAAAAAATAAATTATAAAAACTAAGAGGCCCTTAAACCCCCCATTTGCGATGATAATAATCTGTGAAAAATTTCCTGAATAATATGGGACGCCAAGTAATTGTGAAGGGCAGTGGGGACGATTATCCCTGCATCACCTCCCTGTTCCTTCAAAATCACCGTCGTGTCTACTGTCCACACTCTCCGAAAAGCATCCGGCGGCCAAAGTCCAGTGGCTCCCTGTGCGGCGGGGCAGCGGCCAGCGAAAGGGTGTTAAATTTAGCCGTCCCACGTGCTCGGATGCACCAAAATATATTGGACGGCGCTAAATAGAGCATCGGTGTTGCAATCGTGCGTATTTCTGGACGCCACTCTAAACGCGGTCCCGTCGCTGCCAGATTCTCGACGGACCCTCCAACTCCCCCGACCGAGGAGCCTAATTTTGAGCCCCATTTGACGACAGGGGCTGCTGAGTCCCTGGTCGCGGTCCTTGTCCGAGCGCCCCCCTCCTCCCCCCGCCCCTCGCCCGTACCTGGCGTCCGAACACAAATGGACCGATAACAATTTTTCCGCCGCTTATTATACGCGTGTATACATATATTTATTTGTTTTGTGTCTCTTTCGTTTTTGGCTCCTGTGCTGTGCTACGTTAATTTTAGGCGTTTCTCAGACAATTTGCCGGGTGAGATTTATGGGTCTCGCCACGGGACGACTCTCCTGCGGAGCTTTTGCCCCTGTCGGATAGAGCCTTGCAGGAAGGTCAAATTAAAAACCTCGGAGTCGTCGTTGAATTGCAAGCAAAAAAAAACATCGACAAAATTGGCAATTGAAACTTCTTGGGGTAACGCATGACCCCCGTAAAGAAGAAGGTGGCGTTTGCATCTTGAGGATTGTTTACCTCATGACGTGGGTCAGTGCAACATAATTTCAAGCACTTTATATGGAATGACTTTTTTCCAAAACTACACCATTTCCAAAAAATCAATGGTGAAAATCGTCCGTACCGACCCACGTCATCAAAAAAATCCAAGATGCCCGAAAGACAAACATCTTCTTTTTCTCTATGCCCTGTCAACTATAGTAGCAAAAGTTAAGTTCCGTAAACCTATTTCTGTGTGGACAAGGCCTTTCATTCATAAGAAATGAACAAAAAAATTATGAAAGAACAAACATAATTGTGGATTAATGATTTTAACGTCCGCCGCCGCGCCGTGTTTGGCCCAATGCGTGAAGTATCCCGACAATCTTGTAGGCGCTATGAGTTTCATACCGACCGCTGCTGAACGCGCTGTGTTTGACGCAATGCGTGAAGTACTCACCCTGTCTTGTAGGCGCTATGCGTTTCACGCTGATTGCACTGTGTTTGCCGCAATGCGTGAAGTATTTGTGCAGTCATGTAGGGGCTAATATGTGTTACATGCCGATCGCCGCGCCGAGGGCTTCTCCTTTTCATCTCAAGTCCTCGTCATCGTTTCTCTTTAAGTCGCGCTGTTCCAGGCCAAATTGCGTGTTTGATTTCTCTCTTAACTCGACTAATTAAAGGTGCTGTCTCTTGTATCATTGAAAGACGACAAAAGTAGAAATTACTATACTCTCAGAAAATTAGAGATTTTGTCGTCTTTTCTCGTTTGTAATTTTTTTTTCTAAATTCGAATTTTCTATACCTACATTTTAAAAAAAAAATTCAAAATTTGTCGCCCGCTGTAGATTTGCCGCCATGGGCCGCGGCCCATGTGGCCACTCCCTTAATCCGGCCCTGCAAAACAATTACATCAGAAAATGCAAAATTGGTTACAGAAATTTTGACGAAATAAATGAAATTGACTTCGTTTGGTGAGAAAAAAATTGTCCAAGGGGAAGGGGAATGTAGAGTTAAAAAAGACTTTAATAAAAGTAATTTTTTTCCTCTGTATTTATGTTGCAATTATCTCCGATATAACTTTCCCAACTCCGCATCCCTTTACGTCACAATAGTTACATTAATACGTGGACACTCTCACATGCTGAAAGTGCTCCAATTTTGAGCGCATGGGCCCCAGTTTTATTGGTAGCAAACTTTTACTTGCGGAGAAGTGTATGTTAGGTCAGCCTTTGTTTTTAAATCGCTCATTACTGGTTTGCACGGCTGAGGATTTACAGGTGGATCTATGTCATCGAGGAAAAATAAAACTTTAACTTCAGATACTGTCTACGCGACCCTTCGTTAAATTGGGAAGTTTGGTGGTCTAATTTACGGCCAACCGCAAACGACGAAGTTTGGGCTCTGAAAAAAAGAATGTCGCGCGTCTCTTTGTGCGTCTTTTTGTGACGAGCAACAATAAATATGCGACTTTTGACCTTACGATCCAGGGCACAAAAGCAGACGTTCACACGTGCATAGACGTAAATCAAATCGCGGCGAAACAAAAGGCGTCGAGGCGAAGGACGCGCCGCGCAGCGCGGTAAATCTAAGTAAATTCTGGTCCGACCCCAAGTGCAGCCAGCGGCGAAAAGTAAGAGTAGAGAGCAATTAGATAGCGCCAAAGTACCCGATACGTAAACAGTAACGAAGTAATGAGACGAGACAATGCGATTATAGCAGCTAAAAATAAACAAACGAAAAAAGCGGGAAGAAGCAGACGGGCTGAAGTCTCCGCTGGAGCTGAAACGATGCATTAAGGGCCACATTGCACAGGCAGCGTGCGACGCAAAATTTGCCGCGCCATCAGAGCATCGATGTATGAAGACTTATTAATTATACGCATGTTCCATAAGATTTCATATGAAAGAAATTTTTTGACTCTATTTTATACAATTACTAGGGGGCTTATCGCTTACCCCCTAGTAATTTTGCGCATTGCGATTCGCAACCTCCTATAGCGCGTCGCATCTTACAATTAGACATTATGCGTTAGACGTTAATATCATAATTTTACATGATAGAGTATATACCCTGGTAAAAATTGACGATAGGAGCTGCGTTTCAAAATACCATAGGAGTTCGTAAAGCCTACTAAAGAAGGCTATTGAAAATCATATAGCTGGCTGTAGAAAACGGAGCAAACCATATGGCCGGGCTATACGAAGCTATAAAAAAGTATACAGTCGGGCTATAGTTCCTGTCGCCGGGCTTTACACTTTATCGCCATTGGCTATAAAAGGCTATATGAAATTGTGTAGAAATTCGTGTGCTGTGGAAATCATTAAGTTTGATACGGAACTACCTTAATATTTACAAAACACACATTATATTTTCCTTAAAAACATTTTTTTATTCATCAATTAAATGAGAATAATCCATACAGAGTGTGCAAACATTTCAAAATCATGAGTTGAAAAACGCTGACTCCGCGAGACTAAATATTAGAGCCTAACACAAAGCGGAGCGGCGACGCACTGGCGCCTACAAACCTAACATTGCGCAATGCGTGAAGTATCCCTGTTAGGTTTGAAGGCGCTAATGCGCGTTTCGCGCTCTCTGCCCGCCCGCCGAGCCGCAGCGTGCCACGGCGTCTGAGGCAACTATTTCACACTAGATGTATTGCACAGTATCATGAGAAATTGAAGGCGCTCCAACATATTAAGAATGACTGGCATCCTTTAAAAGTACGGAGCTTTCCTCGCAAAATAAATTAAGATACTACGGCACAAAAAGAGAGCGGTAGTCCGAAAACTAACTAAGTCCTAGTGTCCGTATTTCGTAACGTTTAGCATAAAATTTATCGTCTGGCTGTTGCTTAATCGCCATCGGCTGTAAAAGGCTAAAATAAATTGTACAGCCGGCTACAGAGGCTATTGGAAATCTTACAGCCGGCTTTAGGTCTATGGTATTTTGGAACACAGATTCTACTGCCAATTTTTACCAGGGTAAGATTAAAATAATACGTAAAGCGTAATGCGTGACCAGTCCGCGGCCGACTTCGTGCGCGCTGTCTGTGGAAGCGTACCTTCAGCTGAAGAGACCTGCGCTGAAGCCACGCTCAGAGACCCGCGCTTATAAAATACAACTTTGAAAATCCAAACGCCGCCAGTCAGTGCTCTCACACTTTCGCCAAGCGCGCGCTTTTCCGCCTGTCCTCGCCTTAAGGTCTCGCGCGAGTTTCACGGATTTCGGAAAGTTCAACTCGATCTCATCATTGTGTACTTTTGGAATTTTGTGTATCCACGGTACCTCGCCAGGTGACCTCCCCCGGGATGGGTACACTTTAGTGTTTAGTTTATGTGTGTTTTTCATTACGAGTATTTATTTCTTTATTTTTACTTGTGCCGCACCGCACGGATTTAATTACTCATATTTGAACGGCAGTAAAATATTTTAATGCACTCGTAAAAACTGAGCAATTCTGCTTTAAGATCGCACATTTTGGAGGAGCTGTCGCAAACAGGACTTAGCTCCTAAAGTTACTGGATGTAAAACCCCATCGACACCAGGTGAGAATTTTTGCAAAAACTTACTATCAGACTGCATTTCTCTTTCTCAGAAAGAGGTGAACATTTTAAAAGAGATGAGAGACTTTTTTATGTATCAACATTTTTGTGCCTCTGATGGTCACCACTTAAGAAACCAAACCCTTCGTTCTGGAGAAAAAAATGGAGAATTTTCACTTTCTGATTAATTTAGTTAATTGTGGGGCTTGGAGGATAAGACGCATAAGTGCAGTTTTTGCTATTTCGAGAAATACACATATACATTCGAAATTACGACATGGATCCTTATGGCGGATAAAAAGTTCAAACTGACTTTTTCATGCTTAAAAATTGGAATTTGGCAGCGAATTTTTCACAGAATATGCATTATGACTAGTTTTGTTGAAATCTTTAATACCTCAATTTTTTCAAAAACTGCACTTATGCGCCTTGTCCACCAAGCTCTTTAATTCATATTTGAAGGTTTTGACTTCTGATTTTACATTCATGTAGAGGATCAACATTTCTAATGGTGTACAATTGTGCATAGGCAGGAATTTTCTAAGGATGTCTATGTGTTCAAAAAGATTTCTGGGTGGTTTTGACGATCAATAATTCCTGTTAATCATGACGATGGTCTCTCTTGGAAAAAATTTCCAGTCACGAGGAAAGGGAGTCGAAGATTCTGAGCTCCCGTCCTCCTACATTTTTTTGATTTGATAATTTCTAGCTACTTCATGAAATTGAAAATGAATGAACAAACGAACAGTGGTGAACGTTCGTGGCGCGGGAATCGATTCAATAGCTTATGTAGCTCATACTAAAAATAACTGAAAATTTACCAAATAAAAAACGTTACTTTTGGCGAGTTTGTTACAGTTACCATAGAAAGATACAACAAGTCAAATGACGCTAACCATAAAACAAATCTAGGACTAATATAAGGGGAAATTTCATTTAGCACTGGACGACGACGAATGCCTCGATTTGAAACTTCCAATAAATCGTTAAAATACAGTAACCAATATTTCGTTTTCTAACTCGATAGTGGACTCCAACAAGTTTAAAATAATTATCTGTTATCGATACCAAGAAAGAATAATCATTCGATTTTACCGAGGGTGGTGTCAGCTGTGGCATCCAAATCTCTATGCCTTCCCCAAAGCGTACGAAAAATTCTTTGGTAATACGAAAATTTGTATCTTACCTAATTCATAATTTTAAATTCTTAATATTTAATTTTTTTAAAAATAAATAACCAGAATATCTCATCCGAACTACCCATGAATATTTTAGAGTATGAAATCGGAGAAAATTCACAGACATTTCAAGAAAATGTGTCAGTCATTATGCTCTGACAGAATGAAACAGGGGAAACGGTTAGAAAGCAACCACTTAGTGCGACAAAAAAAAACAAGCAGTGAACTCCAACACAATGTGTTGATAAGGCGCGTCATTAACTCGCACATATCAACCCCTTTAGTTTTCATTTACAGAGATTTCAAAATAGGCAAACAGCATAAAAAGAGAATTCACGATCCAACACTGCGAGGTCAAAGACGCACCTTGACGAGACCGTGTATTGTGAAAGTAGAAAGCTATTCGATCGAATTTAAGTTTTTTGATCTNTTCAGTAAGGAACTAGGGGACTCGGTTATTGTATCGAGGGGGGGGTCGAAACGATCGCAAAGGCGGTATACTACGTATACGCGCCAAAACGATTTGAAAGCGTCGCATCGCGGAGACACTGGTTTTCCGACATCGATACGAGGAAAATGCAACGACGATAAGAAGTTTCCTCGATGAATTTGAAGCCGCTCGTTTAAACTTCAAGAGGTCACAAGGCATCTGTGGAAAACTTTCTATGGATCTCCAAAAGGTCTTCCGGGTGAGGCGTGACATTGTAGGATTTTCAGAAAAATATTTCACCTTCCACAAGGTGCACAAGCATAAACTGAGAAGGGAAAGATATTCCTACTACTAGCTATTCCTACAGATTACAGGAAAAAGTTAATTTCTGCTTCTTTTTTAAGTGAGGCCTTGGTGCCCAAATCGTTCATTTTTTGATCAAATAAAAAAAATAATCAAAAAAGGAAAAACTCAAATTTTGTTGCTACTTATCACGCAAAAGGAGTTTCAATTCTGATGAATCGCAAGTAACTTCTGAAGTGACCAGCCGAGAAAAGAGGAAGAAACATAGGCGGATCCAGACACTTCATAGGGGGGGGGGGGGCCNGGGGGGTCAGAAGGGAATCCCCCAAAAAAGTTTTGAAATCCTAAAGCATCTAATTTGCGGTTTCAGTCAATTTCGTCATGAATATTTACCAAATATGAGCGTTCCTCCTTCTTATTCCCTCCGTTCTTTCCTCCTTCATCTCTCTTATCCGCCCTTTTTTCCTCCTTTTTTTGGGCGAACCGAGGAAGGGAGGTTGCGCACTCCCCGTACTCCTCCCCTGAATAAGAAAGGAAAGAAGAAGAAAGCGAGCGCGAGTGTCTGCAGTAAGCGAGGTCATTTGGACGTATTTATGCTAAAAGGAGACTAGGTGCATAAGATTAGGTTGCGACATAGTTCCTTTTAGCATTTAATACGTCCATTTGATTTGATCCCACTGCATTAAAGTTTTAAAGACATGAGATTTGCGTAGCGGGAATTGGGCACTTCTACGAATGAGTGAGACGTGAAAAATTCGTTTTCCGAGAACACACCAAGAGGATCAATTGGCAAAATCCTCGGGTTTGATTGAGTGGCAAGTTTGTTTGAAGCTACGATTCGTGTATCGATCGAACCAGTCCTCCGCGATCACTTCATCGAAATCTTATGCACTCGCGCGGATTTCGCACGAGAAGTCCCTCGATTCAATTAGAGTCGGGATGAAGTTTACGCAAATTGACTCTCAGTTTACAAATTGGCCTCAAACTCATAAACAAATCCACTTCGCAGACGGGAAGCGATGAGCTCCTCGTGACGCCGCACACTGGGTCGAGTCGATAGGAGAGTTTGGAGAAAATTTGGAGACTTTAAACGCCTATAACTCCGTTTATACAAGACTTTGAGGTTCTAAAACTGGTTTCATTGGTTTTCTCGTGAGATTTCCTTCTAGTAGCACTCCTTGAACTTTGAAATGTGACGAAATAAACATCAAAATTTGCAGTTTTGGTCAAAAATTTTGTGTCCATCCTCTTTGATTGACTCGGTCCACTGTGCGCCGCCGCTCGTAGCGCCGCTTTGGATATCACTTTGATTTTTGCAAGACGGATAAAAAGAAACCGAGCTTCAAACTTTTGATGATTGACACGCTTTTAGTTACGTACTTCGTTTGGATAAAAAATTCGCGCGGGCAAGTGAGCACCGCGCATCGTGGTTACATCAAAGTTGAATATTTGCAATCGAGTACGAAGTTTCTACAAATTAAATTTCATTATATCGATGGCTGAAACATGAAACCACGTATCTCCATTGCGGTCCTTAAAAATCTCTGAAGTTAATTGATTTTTTCGAACAGGACCAAGTCAACTACACAGCTTGAAATTTCTACGGAGTATTCTGCTAACAAGAAGGAAAAAATAAAAAAAATTAAGTTGACCGGTTTTCCTGAGAACGTCGCGATAAAAATCAGTTTACTTTATAGGCACAATAGGAAATGCTGGAATTGAATTACGTTGTAAGAGTAACCATGGAAAGCGCTCTTAGTTATGCGAACGCGACGAACACTGTGCACATTTCATTGACTCCTGGAGTCCTAGATGCAACTATTCGGGCTTTTTGGATGCCCGTGTTGCATACGCCCAGAAGTGAAGGCGTTTTGACTGTCCAAGTACTTACCACTTCACCCGCGTTTTGTGGCGCGGCGCCAACGCTACGGCGGGCTTTACTTCGAGGATCCAAAATTATGAAAGGAGGGCCGAAGGATGAAAATCTGTAACGCCTACGCTTATCAACACATGTTTGCTTCGACTCCTGCAAAGATGAAAACTACTATATGATCGGACAAGCGAGGGAGAAGCAAAAGTTAAAGCAAGAGAGGAGATGTGATAGTTGTGTCTAATGTCTCTGTTCGAGGGTTGGCAGATGTAGTCCGAGTCGCGTTAAGGCGCCGAAAGATGTAGAAAAGGAGGTTAATTTAGCCGATTAGGCCGTGCAATTTGAAAGGTTTCACACCAAATGTATGTCACAATGTCACATTCTTAAGAATTCCTCGGCGCAGTTCTACCCTCCGTGCCACAGCTCGCGTGAAGAAATAATCAAACGTCATCTTTATAAGTACCACTCTCTCGCGCTGGGTTCGTCTTGTAGCCAAAAAAACCACCCGCCGTTTCCAACTTTTTTTTTAATTTTTTTTTTTTTTTTTTTTTTTTTGATCGTCAACTTTTAGAGGAATTTTTTAGGATTGGGCCGGGGTGGCTACCGCCACCTAGAATAATGAGCCTGCAATTCTGCCTCGCTAAGGAGGAACGCCGTATGAACATTTGCCAAATTTCCCCGGATAAAACATGTATTTTTGAGGGAAATAATGCAAGTTTTTGCTTGAAATTTTCAGTTATTTTAGAGTAAATCCCGAGTAAAATTTTCTGGACATTTTGAAGGAAAATATTCAACATTTTCCAAGTTAATGCGTGTATGATTGAGAGAAACATGAGAATGTCAAAAGGCTCATACGGCATTCTTGCTTCGAATGGCAAAATAGTCGACCATCTTTACTACGATTTTTGTAATCTCCACGCCTTCCGCTTTGCATATGGTTCCAAGTCTCGTCTGCATATCCTGGGCCCTCGCTCTACTTGTTCTTTCAAATTTCGCGCAGGAACGGTTTTGAGTTCGCTTCAAAATAGTGACTACACGTGATTTTACAGGGGAACCCGCTGATCACTTCTCTGGTCGGTTATTATTCTATGGGTACTTTAATTTGTACCCGTCTGGTGGTTTGAATTTGAATTTTTGAAACGAATTGTAAATACGCAGTTCGACCGTTTACCATCATTACATCGTTGCCACGCGTGGTAGACTTATAAGTTTGTTCGAGCAA